GTTGATTTAAGATTTACAAAATAAGAAATCATAGTGAGCCCCCACCTACTGGCCAAATCCTGTTTTCAGAATGTGGTATATTTCTATTATTTCTGTATTTCTACTAGCTAGCCCCAGGCATGTGATCTTGGCCTAATGAAGACAGTTCTGCACAGCAGCCATACAAACATGCTTAGAAACAGTACGATAAACAAGTAAATAGAACATAACAACAAAGAAACAATGCAAAAGAAAACATGTACCAATTGGCTAATGGTCCACTGCTTTCCTAGATCCTAGAAGCTCCAGACATAAGATCTATTTTGATTTTTTTGTTTTTGTTTTTTTGCTTTTTTGGTGTGGTAATTGGGGTTAAGTGACTTGCCCAGGGTGACATAGCTAGTAAGTGTCAGAGTTTGAGACCTGAGTTCAAATCTCAGGTCCTCCTGACTCCAAGGCCGGAGCTTTATCCACTGCACCACCTAGCTGCCCCTAAGATCTACTTTGAAACAAGGCATTCCAGGACATGCATGTCTTTGGATTCCTTTGAGTAAACAAATGAATGTAAACTTCACAACACAATTCAAACCTTCATGTTATCAGCTGTCAGTGAAGAAATTCTAGAGGAACTCTTGATCTAACTCTGGTTCCTGAGATCACAACATGGGGAATAGATTTGGAATCAGGATAGATTGAGGAGAAACATAACTTTTTTTCTTGGTCCCGTCGGTGACAGGGACCTTCCAGCTACCTATGAGCACACATCTGTATTATAATCTGAGAATCAAAGTGGGTTGTCCTCAGAAAGGCAAGCCCCGTGCACCCCAGCATCCCTCCCTGCACCCACAGCAGGGTCTCTTGTTATTTCTGATCACTGCTTCCCAATCAAATCTCCCGTGGGGACAGAGACAGAGGAAGAGCAGACCGACATCTAAAAGTAAGGTTTCTTTTTTTTTTTCTTTTTAAGAAAGAAAAAAGAAAAGCATGGATGGGAAAAAATTCTTTAATTTTCCTGAAATATTAACAAAGCAGAACAGTTTAACCACTTCAGCTACCACATCAACTGTCATACTCTAAGGGGAAAAAAAGTAAAACATCCTATAGTACCTACAAATGAACATTCAATTACCTTTACCCCTATTCCAGATATTTCCTATTTATATTACGGGCTAGAGGTACTAAGGGAAGTAAATGAACTGATCAAGACCCTGTCACACTTAAAACAAAGTCACACTTAAGCCATCCCAGTTCTTATGTTTTGTTCTGTTTTCAATCAATACTTACTCTGGACACATTTGTTTCTATAAAACTGAATCTCTTCTGGCCCTATCTCCAAACATTCAGAATGAGGGTGGGGATCGTAGCCTGGAACTCTAGCCCTGGCTCTGCCCCAAACGACCTGGGTGCCATTAGACACATCCCTTAGTTTCAGGGCAGGCTCTTTTCTTGCCTACAAGATGAAGATGATCTGATTCAACTCTAAAAAGCTACAATTCTACCACTACTAACTTCAACAAATATCCAAATGATTACAGGCCCATAATTATGACCTGAATATTTCTGGTTATAATTTTTTTTTTGGGGGGGGGGAAGGCAATCAGGGTTAAGTGACTTGCCCAGGGTCACACAGCTAGTAAGTATGAAATGTCTGAGGCCAGATTTGAACTCAGGTCCTCCTGACTCCAGAGTAGGTGCTCTATCCATTGCACTACTGGTTATAATGCTTTTTACTCTGCATTATCCAGAGAAATATCTCAAAGCACCACTTAAGTTTGTATGTGTAGGAAATCTGAAAAAGACTTCCTTCTCAATTTCCACTGCAGTGAAAGCTAACAAACCTGTTCTACCTTGAAGTCATTAATGGGCTAAAAAAAACAAATCCACGGCACTGGATGAAACAACAGCTATTCATTCATTCCACAGACACATTAAGCAATCCACAGTGCTAGGTGATAGGAAGCCAGAAAGCAAAATGAGACATAGTCATAGGGTGGGGAACCTTCGGCCTCTAGGTCCTCAAGTGTGGCCCTTTGACGGAATCCAAACTTCAGGTTTGGCGAAGATTCTGTCAGAGGGCTGCACTTGAGGACCTAGAGGACTACATGTGGCCTCGAAGTCACAGGCTCCCCACTCCTGCTCAAGTTGACAAAAATGTGGTGAGATGAACTAAGGCTTACAGACAGTCATAACATAAGCTGCAGATATGATAAGTGTTTAAGAGTGTAAAGTGGCATGAGATCAGATGAGGAAGTGCTAGGATCATCACCCAGCGTGCCAATGCGCCTATCAAGTAACTGGGTAAACAATATCACAGCAGACGGGCGTCCACAACATTATGAGAGTCAACTAAAATATACTATTGGGAAAGCAATAGTTAGGGGTTAATGTATGTGGAATTCATGCCTTTACGGTTACCTTCGAAAACTAAAGACAGTGTGGTATGGAAAGAAGACTATGGTTCATATTGTAGCTCTATAAAAGAAGTCTCTATATCACCAAGAGGGAAATGCAAATTAAAATACCTCTGAGACTAGAAAAGATGACAGAAGATGCAAACTGTAAATGTTGGAGGAAGAGGATGTAGAAAGACACACTGTACTGTAGTTGGAGCTATATATTGTTCCAACTATAGCATAAAAACACATGGATTCAAAGAAGAGAACTCACCACTGTGTATACTCTAACTCAGTGATAACGCTACAAGGCCTACCGAGAAGGGCAAAGATAGAGAAAAGTGCCATATTTACAAACAGATTTATAATAGCCAATTTAGGGGTAGCAAAGAACTGAAAAAAAAAAAGTAAGTGCTTCTGGTTCGGGGAATGGCTGATTATAGTACGTGATGTAAGAGAATATAAGAAATATAAAATAGGAAACCAAAATTTAAAAATGTAAGAAATTATGAATATATAAAATATATAGTTGAGATAAATAACATATAATAAATAATATAATAAAACATATAATAAGAATATCACAAATTATGACTATGAAAAAATCAGAGAACTTTGGGAAAATTTTTTATCAACTGATACTGAACAAGAGAAAAACCCAAACAATGGCACATAAGGGAAAATTGGAAAGGCATCAGAGCTATGGTCAATGTAGTGACCAATCTTGATTCTGGGGGTCTGACTATGATGAAGGCCTCCCTCTTCTTAGCAGAGAGGAGATAAAACTATCAGTGGTGCAACCTGAAGTACAAATCATCAGACATAGTGAAGGCATGGTTTGTTTTGCTCAGTGGCACTTCCTGGTTACAAAGAAGGCTTCTATTGTGAGGGAAAAGGAATCAGAGGAAATGACGGCAATCTGGAAAGAAAAGAACAGCAATAAAACATAAGACTGGCCATAGGCGAGGATAAAGCAACTCACAAAATCACTCTTACTATCCCCTGGAAGGGTGATGATGGAATACTCACAATGGCAAAGAACTGTAGCTCATTTAAAGTACTCAAGAATTACTAAAACTTAAATTCAACATTAAGCCCTTCCTTCAGGCAAGGTCCTGTGCTAAGCACTGAAGATACAAAAATAAAGAGTCCCAGGCCTCAAGGAGCTCCAATTCTATCAATATAACTGTGCCTTCCTAACTACGACAGATATTTCTGAAAAGTTTCATGGAGATTAAGTTTTGGTAAATCAAACCATATGATCCCAAGGCTTTTCAGTCATGCCCTATCATTATACATGATGTTTTTTTTTGGAGAGGTAATCAGGGTTAAGGGACTTGCCCTGGGTCACACAACTAGTGAGTATCATGTGTCTGAGGCTGGATTTGAACTCGGGTCTGACTCCAGGGCCGGTGCTCTATCCACTGTGCCCCCGAGCTGCCCCTACGTGATTTATTTTCTATTAAAGATCCCTTATGACTGCATTTGATATCTCTAATCCCTTAGTTCTCTGCCAAGAGGTAAGAGTAAGTATGAAGTCTTCCAAAGTCATGATTGGTCACTGCTTTGCTCAGAGCTCTGTGACATTTTAAAGCTGCCTTCTCTCACATTTACTGCTGAGGTCAGAGCATAAACAGGTTTCCTGGTTCTGTCCCATTTGCTCTGCATCAATTCCTATGAATCTTTCCATATTTCTCTGAATCCCTCATAGTCATCAGTTTCTTAGGGTGCAATAACATCCCACTACATAAAGTTTCCTTCTATGTCAGTTAATTGTTGCTAATTACTTGTACCCAAACAGGAGAATGCACAGCTCTCCATATTTGAAGGAATCCTTACGTAAAGTGAAGCCTTCCAAATCCCTCTATATTCTATAAATTCAGATTTCTAGATGCACATCTCAAAACAAATGCAACTTTTTCATTGAGAAAGTTATCCTTTTAAGCCCTTAGCACAGAACTAAAAAGCTTACTTCCTCCTTATATCTCTCAGCAGAGAGGAGATTGATTAGGGTTGCCACTTCTTGAGGGAGGGCAGGTGGGACCTTGCACACATACAAGTAAGGTCATCTTATTAAAGCACTCAAAATCCACCTCACCTTGCCACCAAATGGAAACTCTTCTGAAACAATAACTCACATCTATAAGCAGTTTAGGGTTTACAAAGTGCCTTGTACCAACTCAATGAGAAGTGTAGTGCACGTGTTATTTTGCCCATTTTACAGATGAGGAAACAGGATCAGAAGGGTTAAAATGACTCCTGTGGTTACATAACTAGCAAGTATGGGAGTCAAGAACCAAATGTTGATCTCTCCTGATTCCAGATAACTGCTCTCTCCATCACGCCATACTGCCCTTGTTAATAATGGAGCTGACAAAATTACATTAGCACCAAGCATCAAGGGAAAACTCCCTTGGAGGAGAACAAAGAACTTCCTTTAGGAAGAGAATTTGTTCATATATTTTGAGAATATGTCATTAATTTTTCCCATATAAAGTTGATGATTTGCTTCTTTACTGTGTCTTTGAAATGAAATAACCCAACAGGTCACATTTGTGAAAGGACTGAGGCAACAGGATAATGAAAGAATCTTTTGAAAACGTGTAACAAAACAAAAAATGCACTTACTTGTTAGCTTGTTGTGGCTGAGAACCAGTTGTGTGATGTGGGATAAAGTAACTATAAATAAGAAGGAAAAAGACCAGTTAGTAAACATATATCCAAATTATATCTAGATGCTAACAAAAGAAACAGTTTGTTAAAACCTTATTTCATAGGATGAATAACTACTTACTGTTCCCATGGATAATCTTGGAAATATTTGTCAACACAAAATCACAGGCCTTCATCCAGGTAGACAAATTTCCCAACAGAAAGCCAGCTCAAACATCATCTAACGTAATCCCTATCTGAAGCGGGACACCTCATCACTAATCTCCACTTGCATATTCAAATGGCAGCTTGGTGGCAGAGTGGAAACCCCACCTCAGACACTTACTAGCTGTGTGACCCTAAGCAAGTGATTTGGCCTATCTTAATTTCAGTTTCCCCATCTGTAAAATGGGTCTAATAATAGCACAAACACATGTAAAGTGTCCTATAACCTGAATGCACTATATAAATGTCAACTATTCATATCATTGCTGTCATTCAGTTGTGTCTGACTCTCCGTGACTACATTTCGGGTTTTTTGGCAAAGACACTAGAGTGGTTTGCCATTTCCCTCTCCAGCTCATTTTACAGATGAGGAAACTAGTTAAGTGACTTGCCCAGGGTCACACAGCTAGTAAGCATCTGAGGCCTGATTTCAATTCAGGTCTTCCTGACTCCAGGCCCAGCACTCTATCTACTATACCACCTATCTGCCCTAACTATTAAAATTACATATATATGTATATATATGATATTAACATTACCTGTATGTTTATAATATTAATATTACCTATATATTTATTTATTTATAATATTACCTATTCCAGGAGAGACTATTCTGTTTCTAAAGAGTTACACATGTTAGAGTCTCTGAGTTCATCAAATACTATGTGATTATTTTTTATTTTCTCTTATTCATATACACCTAATTGGTTCCAGAGATCAACTTCTTTATTTTTAACCAGTACAAGACAGTTTTGATAACTGCTTTGTACTAAAGTTTGAAATCTAGTACAGCTAGCCTCCTTTCCTTTCCCCGCTTTCTCATTCTTTCCTTGGAAATTCTTGACCTTTCGTTCCTCCGGATAAATATTTTATTCTTTCTCTTAGTTCTATGAAGTAACTCTGGTAATTTGACTGGTACAGCACTGAAATCTATAAATTAATTTAGGTAGTATTGTCATTTAATTATATTGACACAACCCAACTGTGAACATTATCTTTCTAATTGCTGATTTAATTTAATAAGTTGATTTAATTTCTGCAAAGTGTTTTATAATTCCATTCATATAATTCTTGTGTCTTGGTAGGTAGATTCTCAGATATTTTATAGATATTTTATAGGTTCAAGGATATAGATTTGGAAAAAACCTCAGAAGGAATCCCTCATGTTAGAAATAAGAAAACTGAATCACAGAGGTTGCTATCTGCCAATACCACATACATAATAAGTGGCAAAACTAGAATTTGAACTCATGTTAACTGATGTCACCACTTTTCCCACTAAATAACCTTTCCTTTCTTTTTCAATTTTTCCTAAAATGCAGTGACTAAATAGAGAGCTGTCAATGAAAGCACCAAGGAAGCTATGTTCCATGAAGCCAATGAACGCTAAGAGACTTAATCTTAAAAAGATCCATAGCACTTTGGTTCTTCCACAAACATGCTGTTTTAATAAGCTCTCCATTCCCTATGCATAACAAACAAGGCCACATATTTCTCACTGGTAATGGTGACAAAGCATGGTACAAAACCGAGTATCAAACACGTAAAACAGGCATTTGTAAAAGTAGGCCTGCCTTCATTCCTACCTTGCCAAGGTAGACATACAACCATTCAAAAGAAAGAGGGGAAAACTCTTGAAATGACTCTTGATAGCTAAACATCTTTACACCTACTTCCTTCACAGAGGGTCACTGATTTAGAACTGGGTTGGAAGGAAGTTTAGAGCTTACACAAATTTTCAAGATTCCTCAGAATTTGTCCATATTTTACTCCAATGTTTCCACTTTAGACATACAATATTGGCCCAAAGGATACATTTTCTTTCTCCAACATCCCACCATCTACTCCCACCCCAGGGGCAAAAAAAAATCTGGCCTCTGATAAGATCACAGAGTCGTCCCTAGAAATGACCTCAGGAGTCACCTAGAAGAACCTTCTCAATTTATAGATAAGAAAATTAAGATTAAATGACTTACTCAGAGTCAGACGGCAAGCACCTGAGGCAGAATTTGAATCCAGATCTCTTGGGCCCAAGTCTAATGTTCTTTCCACCATGCACATCTACTTCCTGCCTCTTTTCTGCTGCTAACTGATGATTTTCTTCACTTAAATACTACTCCAGTTCCTCATTATAAGCAAGAAAGTGACTGGTTTTAATGACAATGTCAGTGGGGCTGAAGGTCCAGCAGGCCATAGACCAAATTAAAAAAGGCTCCTCATATGGGCCAATGAATAGATTTTCTTGTGTTGTCTAGGCTAAATTTGGAACTGCTCACCACGGGGCTGACTGCAGGGTGCTGAATTATTAGGCCAGAAGCACTTTCAAAGGCTGCCCACTAAGTTAGAATAGGATTGTAATCTTCATTTTTGGAGGAAAGACCCATACTCAGCCATCGAACCTATCACCAAGCTTTTGTTAGGCCCTTCCTACCTGCCAGGAACTGTGCTGGCTGCTGGGATATGAAAACAAAAATGATGCAGTCAAAGGAATGAGAATTTCTGAAATGCCCAGTTAAAAAGAGGGAGCCGCGTGGATGTATTTATGCAACCTCAACTCCCTTCTGTTCATGAGTGGTTGTTTCTTTGTGAGTCCCATGAGAACACTGCACTATTAAAAGAAGAGAGAATGTTTAAAGTATAAAAGTTGCACTGCCCAAACCAGTCAAGAAGCCATCATCATTCTGCCCCTCCTGTTTGGCCCCTGCTGCTTCATAGACCTTAACAACACATGCTGGCAGACGGTGAGAATAACATTTTGGCTATCTTCGGAACTAGAAATGACCCAGAATGAGCCTTGCTAAATAAGAAATGCATGCTATTAATCAATCAATCAAGAAACATTTATTAAGGACCTACTGTGTGCCATGCACTGTGCTAAGCACTAGGGATACAGCAAGAGACAAAAAACAGTCCCTGCTGCCTTCAAAGAGCTCATAATTTAATGGATTATGTACAAACAAACAAACATGTACAAACAAGGTAAATGGGAAATAATTAACAAAGGGAAGGCACTAGAATTAAGAGGCAAAAGGAAGGATTTTAGTTGGAACTTAAAGGAAGCCAGGGAGGTCAATAGGCAGCGTTGAAAAGGGGGACCATTCCAGGCATGAGGCACAGTCAGAGCCTGGAGCTGAGAGATGCTTGGAACAGCCTTTCTAGAGATGATACAAAGGTAAAAGTGGCTGGCCTTGGCAACAGCTTGGATATGGGGGATGAGAAACAGGAAGGAGTCCTGGATGACTCCTGGGGTGTGAGCCTGAGGGACTGGGAGGATGGCCTTGTCCTCTACAGTAAAAAGGAAGGTAAGATCAGGGGGAGGATTTAGGTGGAGAGATCGAGGCCCATTGTGGACATTAATTTAAGCTGTCTACTGGACAACCAGTTAGAGATGTCTCAAAGGACAGACTGAGTAGATGTGACAATCAGCAGCATAAAGATGATAATTAAATCTATGGGAGCTGATGATTACCAAGTGAAGTAGTAGAGAGGGAGAATGGTGAGGGCTCAGGACAGAAGCCTGAGGGACACCTGTGGTTAGAGGGTGCTATCTAGAGAGAAGGATCCAGTAAAGGAGATAGAGAAGGACCAGTCAGATAAGAAGGAGGAAAATCAGGAGAGAGTGATGTCCTGAAAACCTAGAGAAAAGAGAGTACCAAGGAGAAGAGGGTGATCAATAGAGTCAAAAGCTGCATCGCCTACAGAAAGCCTTTTTGAGGAGTTTAGGTACTAAGGCCAGAAGAGAAACAGAATGATAGTTAACAGAGACTCAAGAATCAAGTGAGGGTTTTTTCAAGATGGAGGAGACATTAGCATGTTTGTAGGCTGCAGGAAATGAGCCAGTAGAGACAGGTAAGTGAAAGAACAGGGATGACAGAGGGGGCAATGTACTGGAGGGGATAGGATGGATGGGATCTGGATCTCTTGAACAAGTAGAGAGGTTAGCCTTATGGTCAAGAGCAAGGTCATCCCATCACATGAGACAGGAGTGAAGGAGGCAGAAGCAGAAGGCACCAGAGTGATAAGAGGAAGAAGAAAGAAGGAGCTCATGGTGAAGAGCCTCACTTTTTACTATAAAATATTAAAAGTCCCTATTAAAGTCCCTAAAGCAATGTTACTGTATTTCATGCCTTTGGTTCAGCCCAGGGATTTACAAAGAGATGCATCTTTAAAGTCAACTAAAGAGACAAAGAAAACTTACTGACTTAACACAATAAAAAGTTACCATGCGGCTTCCCACTGGTTTGGCCATTCTCCAGGCTTCACCCTCCTTGATACTTAAAAATATTGTTCAAATGGGTGGGAATCAAACAGAAACTGGGAGGGGTGTTTTGGGCTTTATTTTGATCTGGGGGCTGGAGAGGAGAAAGAGATGTAATCTTAAAGTGAGCAAAGCTACCTCTTCAGAGATCTGGGGGACCCAAATCCAAAGAAGTTTATTTGCACAGCTCTCTGAGAACTAGAATAGCTTTAAATTAAAATGTCTATCTTCTCACAAGTCCCTATGCCTTACTAAGGGGTAACAAGCTCAGAGAGAGAACATATGTCTTGGCAAACAGGGACAGTATGCAGGAAAGCATCTCACAAAGAGAAGCAGCTGAATTTTACCTACTTCTCCCCTTACAAATCAGGAGGCAGACTGTGATGCTAATCAGCAGTAAACTGGTCAAAAGACGTCAAGAGGATGATTATTTCATAAGAGCATCAAAGAATGAAGAACTGGCAGAATTAGAGAAAAATCAATGGATTTACTATAAATTTTAAAAAAAAACCTTCGGCATATCTAAGTACCACATAGAACCTGA